AGCTAAACAAGCTATAAAAATCAAAATTGCACTAGGCAACGAAGGGCTTCGAAAAATCAACGCTTCAGGTTTAACAGAAACCGACCAGCAGGATCCCTTCGAAGATTTGGGAAATTTTCGACAACCAACTTAAAGTTAAGGTTAACTTTAGAATACATCGCCTTGAACTCATGAGGTATAAACAAAAGACAGATGAAAGCCTAGATGAGTTTGTAAACAGGTGTCGCAGTAAAGCAAAGGAGTGTGACTTTACAGACGATGAGCTGTCTGAACGCTTAATGGAACTGGTCATCGCGACAACCAAAATAGAATCATTCCAGAAAGATCTACTCGAGAAAGCCAAAGGTCACCAGATCGAGCAACTCTTCGAAGATGGACGCAAATATAAAGCCATAGCTGCTGGAAAAGAATGCCTACAAACACTGAGCTCACACACAGTCAACGCCATATCTAAACCACAAAATCCAAGAATGACGTCATGTGGAAACTGTGGCAGTACACATCCACCACGGAAGTGCCCAGCTTATTACGACACATGCAAGAAATGTGGGACTAAAGGACATTGGGCGAATGTATGCCGAAAGTCAAGATTCACCCGAGATGGGAGAAACAAGCACAATCACCAGCCACATAGACGAAATCGAACACCCTCTAGACACAGAGGAAGATCCGATAACCGCAAGCAGTACCATCGCAAACCTTCAGTTAACGAGATGACTAACGATACTCAATATGATCATGACGATGAAGCAGAAACCTCAGGTGATGAAATCTTTCACTCAGTTGAAGTAGCTAAGGAAGCAACCCAGCAGAACAATGTCATTCACTCAATTGGAGTAACAGAGGCTTATACGATGATCGATATCATATGCCCAAATAAGACAGGGAGTCACCGATTACACCTGAAAATAGACACGGGATCAAGCGGGAACCCCAGCTATTGCCGGTCTGCCATTGTGCGAGACACTGAAGGTAGTAACAATCAATGAAATAAAAACAAACAACAGTCCTATTCACTCAGTGAATGATCTAAAACAACTGTACCCACAGCAGTTCGACAAAATAGGAAGCTTCGGAGGCGAAGCAGATCTACAACTCAAAGAGGACGCAAACCCATCAATAGATGCTCCTCGAAAATGCAGCGTGCACATCAAGCAGAAAATGAAGAAAGAGCTAGATGAAATGGAAAAACAAGGTATCATTCGAAAGATACAACATCACACAGACTGGTGCAGTTCCATAACGAGTGTGCTCAAGAAAGATGGATCAATCAGAATATGCATTGATCCTAAACGACTGAACCAAAACCTGAAGAGATGCCCCACAAATTGCCGACACTAGAGGAGCTAAACCCAGCATTCTCGCAGGCTAAATACTTCTCAAAGCTAGACGCCAAAGCAGGTTATTGGTCTGTCCACCTTGCAAAGAAATCACAGGAACTAACCACGTTCCGAACGCCATTTGAAAGATACTGTTTCCAATGGCTGCCATTCGGTCTATCAGTGAGCCAAGATGTGTTTCAACAACATATGGATCGAATAATCAATCAGGTGGATGGCTGTGTCTGCATCGCAGACGACATCGCAGTGATCGGTCGCTCCGAGGAAGAGCATGACAGAAACCTACACAACCTTCTAGAGACAGCCAGACGTGAAGGGCTAGTCTTTAACAGTAAGAAGTGTACAATAAAAACTGATCATATCAACTTCTTTGGATACATTTACTCCAGAGACGGGATATCTCCTGATCCAAGAAAAATCGAAGATGTTCATGCTATGCCTGTTCCACGAGACAAAGATCTTCAGAGATGCCTTGGCCTATTAAACTTCCTATCGGCATATATCCCGAACTTTTCAGAAAAAGCATCGCCACTGAGAGATCTTCTGAAAAAAGACACACCATTCTTGTGGCACGAAGATCACCAACACGCTTTAGACGAGATAAAGAAGGCAATCACAGCAGAAGCTTGCCTGCAGTACTACAATCCAAACAAAGCAACTATCTTAGAAGTAGACGCATCCCTGAAGGGCCTTGGAGCCTGTATTCTACAAGACGACAAAGCAGTCGCATTTGCATCGAAAAGTCTCTCACCAGCACAAGCAAACTACTCCAACATAGAACGTGAGACACTTGCTCTCGTATTTGGCATCAACAGATTCCATACATATCTATTTGGAAAAGAATTCTTGGTGGAAACCGATCATAAGCCATTAGAGATGATCTCGAAAAAGCCACTTACAAGTACACCTCCACGCCTACAGAGACTACTTATCAAAATACAAGGATATGATTGCACTATCAAATATAAGCCAGGAAGCTCTATGGTAATATCGGACACCCTAAGCAGACTGCCAAACCCAAGCAAAACACAAGATGTACCGATCGAGCTCCAGGTTGACGATATTGAAGACACACTCAATACTGACCTAATGAGCTTTGCAACCAGCAAGCAAGAGGAACTACAAAACGAGACCTCAAACGACCAAGTGTTACAGACACTATGGCAAATTGTAATTGTTGGATGGCCAGAGAACATAAAGCAAGTTCCAGAAGACATAAGAGTGTTCTGGCCATACCGAGACGAGATAGGGATCTCCAATGAAGTAATGTTCAAGGGCATACGAGTAATAATCCCAAAGAATCTCCAAACAAACATCCTAGAACAATTGCACCAAGGACACATGGGAATTGAACGAACCAGAAGGCTTGCCAGAGAGACAGTGTATTGGCCAGGAATCGATAAAGACATCGAAAGAGCAATAAAGTTGTGCCAGCCATGTCAGGAGCACCAGCCTTCACAGCACAAAGAACCATTGGAGTCACACGACATCCCAACAACGCCCTGGACCAAGCTCTCTACTGATTTGTTCTCAATTGGTAAAGATGACTACATAGTAATAACGGACTACTATTCCAAATATCCTATTGTCCATAAGTTAAACAATACGTCAAGCACCACTATTGCACGTATTGTGAGCGGAACAATGAGCCTTTTTGGAGCACCGGCAGAAATCGTTTCGGACAACGGTCCACAGTACAGCGGCCAATCCTTCAAAGAAATGTGCAGAAACTGGGGAGTGAAACACACTACCTCTTCTCCAAGATATCCCCGTTCAAACAGACTGGCAGAGCGCACAGTTAGAACATTGAAATCTTTGATCAAGAAATGCACGCAGACTAGGCAAAGCATACAAGTTGCCTTATTACATCTCCGGGCAACCCCGATAGGACCCGGCCTACCATCACCTGCAAAAATGATGTTTGGTCGACTGGTGAGAACAACGCTTCCAAGTCATCACTTGGCAAGAATCCACCAAAGGACAGAAGTGCATGATAAGCTTATATCAAGACAGCAGGAAATGAAACAATACCATGACAAGCATGCTGGAGCTGAACTAAAACCACTTCACACAGGTCAAAAGGTGCGAGTCAGACGCCCTGATGACAACATTTGGATCCCTGCAGAAATAACAAACGTTTGCAAAGAACCAAGGTCATACGTGGTTACTACACACAATGGATCAACATGGAGGAGGAATAGATCCGAAATCAGAGACGTACCCGAATCTGATATCACAACCAACACCAGGAATACACCACCAGTAACCGACAACCCAACTGACACAAGAGACATACCACCAGAACCAAACAATACAACATCACAATATGACGATGATACGACATCAGTACGCCGACACGTACACTTTGCTGAAAATCCAACACAGCTACAACCACCCAAAACAACCCAGCCTATCCCAACACGAGAAGCACAAGATCGACGTATAACACAATTACGTGATCCGGTCGAATAAGCCGCCGAACAACACGCTTCGGAGACGAATAACAAATCAATGAACACAATAATCACAACAGAGAACAGTCAATACAACGACAGGCAATTCATATAACCATTTAAAATAATATACTGAAACTTGTCATTATATGTTCAATCAAAATAGATACAAAACAATATACACTTTGTCATTAAGTAGTAATTCAATATCCGGAATATGCAACAATCGCATTCAAGTTTTATGATGTTTAACGTTTTTTTTAATGAATTATATTAATGTTTATGAAGTTAACGTTTATGAAGTGTCAAATAGTTCATTACTTTAACAGTTGATTGGAAGCGAGTTGATTGGCCGAGCGGTTAAGTCAGGGGCACCGTGACCTTTAGCTCTAATATCGGCGTTGGTTCGAACGGCTCACTCGCCAATGGTTCCGGTGGTGGAACAAGTCTTCTCGGATAAGGACTTTAAACCGTAGGCCCAGTGTACGCATTTGGCTCGTGTGCACTTTAAATAACCCGGTACATCATTCGAGAAGAGTAGGGGGTTACCCCGGTGTACTGGTCCATTAAGTCCCCTGTTGTTAAATGGATATGCCACGTAGGAGAGTGATTAAGTTCACTTATTGGCATATCCTTGGCCCTCGTGCCTAAAGAAATGAAATGAAATGAAATGAAACAATCACAATATGATACAATGTTTAAGAATGATAGTAATGTTTATAACATTAGTGATTATGAAATTAAAAAGTGTTTCATTATTTTAGTATCACAATATGGACTATGAATAGGCATCAGTTAAACAACGGTTAAAGCATTAATTAACACATCCTGTTTAAAGTTTAAAGCTCGTTGTATTGCTATATAAGCGATAACGAATTAACTGTAAAGCTTTTTGAAAGGAGGGGGATGTTGTGATATGTCACGTGAGTGACGTGAATCAGCCGTGTATATAGACGCACGCACACGCATGGAACCGATCCACGGTACCTACTGGCATATCTGAATAAACTACATATTATGTTACAATAGTTGATAGTCTGTGTGTCTGCCTGTTATTGTCACAACGACCACCCAGGAACACAACAGCGTGTACGCCAAATTCGAAGCCTATGTAGCCCCTAGAGAAAACACTATAAGAGCAACTGTCAACTTTCACCGTAGGAAACAAAAAGAAACAGAAAGATTTGATGACATTTTAACAGACCTAATGGTGTTAGTAAAGGACTGTAACTACACGGATGAAGATCGTATGTTGAGAGATGCCATAGTATGCAGTGCTCTGAATTCTAAGGTGAGAGAAAAGTGTCTAGACCTTGGCGATGAACTAACATCAGACAAAGCTGTATCTATAGGCCAGAACTATGAGACATCTCAAGAAAGTATGAAAGTAATTGGGAAAGATGAATATGCAAAAGTTCATGCTATTAGGAAACAGGCAGAACATTACCAGAAAAAAGAGAAAGGAATTTTAAAGCCTTATAAAAGCAAGCCTTACAAGCCTTCACCGTCAACTAAGCAAACGAAATGCACCAAGTGTGGCTATGATGCAACACATAAAGTATGTCCAGCTAAGAATAAAACATGTGCTATCTGTCAGAAGAAGAAATACTTCGCTGCAGTTTGTAGAAAAAGAGATACCAAATGTGAAAATACACACCAAGTGGAAGAAAATTACTCCTCAGATGAATCAGGGATTGATTATACACACCTTGTTCACGCTATTGGAAATGCAACCAGTAGTGAATGGTATGAAACAGTAAAAGTAGAAGGAAAACCAGTGTACATGCAGATAGACACAGGAGCAGTAACAAGTATCCTGCCATACAGTTGGCTTAAAAATCAAAGCTGTTAGCAGAAAATGAAACCAACAAAACAATGGCTCCCAGCAACAGTCATTGAGCACCACACCTCACCACGATCATATGTAGTGGAACACAATGGACGAAAGTATCGCAGAAACAGAAAGCACCTGCGAATAGCAACAAGTGCAACAAACAAAGGAAACACTCACGAACCAGAAATAGACCTTGCACCTCATACCTCAAACGACACAAGAACTGCACCAGTAAAAATGCCAATACCAGACCTTGCTACTCCAGAACAAAAAAAAAAAAAGAACAACCCAAAACCAATACAGAAGTAACCAAACCAAACTAGATAACCCGTAGTGGACGCATCAGCAAGCCATCAACAAGTTTGGATTTGTAAATAAATAAATTATAAAAATAGAAAAAAAAAAACAACATAATATAACATAAGTTCAATGTTTTTTCAATGTGAAGTTAAAATATAGTTTTTTTTATATAACTTTATTTCAGATTTGAAATCTGGTTAAGATTTTAACATAACAATTACAATGTTTATTTAACATTTTTTCCAACGTTAACTCTAAACATAATTTTTATTTCAATGTAGAATCAACATTGAAAATGTGTTGTGTATTTTTAAAAATGTATCCATTACATACTTAACGTTATTTCAACAATAAATAAATGTTGAAAAATGGTTTAGATATTGAAATTACATTAACAACATTAGTTCAACATCTTTTTAATGGTTAAAATATAGTTTGTATTTTAACATATATTCAATGTTTAAACTATGTTATGTTTTTCTGCCAAAAACCATAGTTTATTCAACGTTTTTTCTACGTTAAAAATATGTTGAGATTTTAATGTTATAGTAACAACGTAAGTTCAACATTTTTACAACATCAAGTTAAATTATAGTTTGCATTTTAATGTGTTGAAAAAGTGATATATTTTTCAACCACAATCCTATTGTTTATTGAACATTTTTTTTAACGTTAAATAAACATTGCAAATATGTTGAGATTTTAAAGTTACAGTATCAACATAAGTTTTTTCAGTGTCAAGTTAAAATATAAATTTTAATCAACTTTAATTCAACACTGAATTCACTTTGAAATCTGGTTGAAATTTTAACATAACAATACAATTAAGTCTAAATATAATTGTTATTTCAATGTAGAATCAACGTTGAAAATGTGTTGCTTTCTTTTTTACAATATATCCATTACATTAACTCAAAGTTATTTCAACAATAACATTGAAAACTGGTTTGGATATTAAAATTACAGTAACAACATTAGTTCAACATCTTTTCAATGTAATGTTAAAATATAGTTTGTATTTGAATGGATAATCAACGTTCAATGTTACCGTATGTTTTTTCAATTAAAACCTTGTCTATTCAACATTATTTAACGTTAAATAAAAGTTGGAAATATGTTGAGATAGGCTAAATTTAAAGTAACTATATAAGTCCAAAATCTTTTCAACGTCAACGTAAAATTGCATTTCAATGTAGAATCAACGTTAAAAATGTGTTATGTTTTTCAACCAAAGACCTATTGTTTATTTAACGTTTTCTCAACGTTAATTAAATGTTGAAAATTATAGTTTTTTGCTCAACTTTATTTTAACATTGAATTCACTTTGATATCTGGTTGACATTTTAACATAACTATTGCATTGTTTATTCAACATTTTTCCAACGCTAAATTTAAATATAGGCCTAGCCTTTATTTCAATGTTATTCATCGTTGAAAATGTGTTGTGTTTCTACAAAGAACCCATTATTTACTCACCGTTGTTTCAACAATAAATAAATGTTGAAAACTGGTTGAGATATTAAAATTTCAGTAACAACATTACTTCAACATCTTTTCAATGTCAAGTTAAAATATAGTTTTTATTTTAACGTATAAGCAACATTTAAAATAAGTTGTGTTTTCAACCCGGAGTTTAAGATTTTACCAAATTTTATTTCAACAATGAATTCACTTTGAAATCGGGTTGCATAACAATTGCAATAGGCCTATATTTATTCAATATTTTTCCAACATTAACTTTAAATATAGTTTTTATTTCAATGTAAAATCAACATTGAAAATGTGTAATGTGTTTCTACAAAGTAGGCCTACCCATAATTTACTCAACATTATTTCAACAATAAAAACGTTGAAAACTGGTTTGAGATATTAAAATCACAGTAATAACACAAATTTCAACATCTTTTCAATGTAAAATTATAAAGTAGTTTGTTATTTTAACGTATAATCAACATTTAGAATGTTATTTTTTTCAACAAGTTTAAATTTCTTTAACTCAACCTCAACTTGATATGAAATTTCATAGAAATAATTGTACAAGATTTATTAAGTTTACCTCCATGTTGGGGTATAAAAAAACTCACAGGCCTATTATGAGAGCATATGATCTTTAATCATTATGGTAATTACATTGGTTCTCTGTCCTTGGAAGTGTGGCAAGTAATGGGCTAATCCGATTAGGTCATTAGGTACAGACCAATCAGAAACAAATGCTTATTTTTTGAAGTATCAGTTGCTGTAAATCTGTCTTCATACACAGTTTACATACTAAAGAATTTCAGCATTATCAAATAAATGGTAGGAACTTTATATTTGTATACAGGGTGTATCTAAACTAGCCCAATATCGTAACTGTATAGGCTTGCTTTATATATATATTATGTGGTTATGTTTTGTTCTAGCTAAGATACGCCAGCTAGTCCTCTGGCCCTAGCTAGTGAGACTAGGCCTAGACTAGAGTACTGTAGGGTAGTGTAAAGGCATAGTTGGCATAATTTTACTTGTTCGGGCTACACTGCAAGTTGGATGTGTGGGCTAAGTTTAAATTATTAGCGGTAATTTTTAATCGCCTAGGGCTTCTTTGCAAAATGGCCACATCCTGTGTTGAAATGCTATAATAGGTCTATATTAAATTAAATTGTGATGAATATAGATTCATATAGGGGGCCCTTGGTTCATACATATATAACATACCTTGTAGTATAATGGTAGAGTCCCGAAAGTTTAGTGCGGTAAAGAAGGAGTGTTGCGCGTTGGAAACTAGGGACGCCATACTGTAGGAGTACATGTTGTTAATGGATAGCGTCCGTTTGAAGTTAGGAAGTCGAATACACCGTTTTACTATGCCTTAATTTAGCTGTTGTGGGACTGGTATGTACATGATCTGTTGTGGAATATATAGTTGTACTGTAGATATGAACAGTACAGTAATATTAGTGATTTGGAATGAGAAGCATTCCATCGTTGTTTTGTGCTAGACCACAAGATGCAACATGAGTAGGCAAGGAGTCAGTCTAACTAATGCATGAAGCCTTTACGTATTTTATCTTTATATTTGTTGTTCCTGTTTATAATATTATTGCGGCTGTGTACAGTCATAATTATAGAAGAACACCGTTTGATTATTGAGCTATAATCATAAGTCTAAGCAATTGTTAGATTTAGTAATGTAGTGACGGTTTGATAATAAGCAATAAGCCTATGTAATACATCGCATGTTAACATTTGATGATAGACCTTCGCCAGTGACTCGTCACGCTTGACTGCACAAATGAATATTTATGGCGTCATAGAATAGGCTGATACCATTGGTATTGTCGAGGTGCAGTGGGTTTCTTATTGCCTAATTTAATTGTTTAATCATTGTTTTTACTTATTTTACAGTAATTTTACGTCTTGATGATCTTGATGACAGTTAATAAATGTATACCAAAAGGCAAAAGTGTTTTGTCGAATATCATCGAGTCAGTAAAATACGCCCGACGTAACATAAATATAATGTTAAAATGTGGTTGCATGGACAAAGCGCAAAAATAAAACAGCTAGGCCTAGGCCTATTACGTGTGTTTAATAATTCATCTCATATCATGGGCCTACATACAGCCAGTGGTACAATAGCCACATCACTGTCATGTCATCAGTAATCTTTTTTTTTTTTTTTGAAGATATTTTCTTTCAATAAAGAGAAAAATTAACAATAGGCCTATATCTTTTGATAATAACATTTGATGCTATGGTTAGTGTAATGAATAATAGAAATATAAAAATAGATATGGGCTAATTTAGTTGTGGGCATAGGCCTAACTATAAATAATATGGTTTTCAATCCATTGACAGGAAGCCATGATTGTTGCAATATATTGTTTGTGGTAGACACTGGGAAAAAACCGATTATTGAATGTGTATTTATTTGTCTCTTGGTACAAGACTGGTGGAAGAGCAGCCATGATGAAGCATTAAAGGTATATAATTTTTATTGTTAAATTTTGCAAGAATATACTGCACATTTGCTAATACCACTATCCCACAGCAATAAGTGACTACCCTACTGTGTCACAGTAATAACCATTTGTTTTAGATTAAAGTCTTGGGTACATAAGAAGTCATACAAACAGTAAACAGCATTTGTCTTAATTGTCGTTTTACGACTATTATAGTCGTACAAAGGCAATTATTAAGTTTAAATTAATTGGGGACAGTCAAATCGTAAATATTATCTTAAAATGCTTAATATTCTTCAACGATAAATGGCACCTAACTTCGTAGTAGGATGCTGTCTGAGTTTCCCTTAAAGAAAAATGTATTTAAATACACATTCTATTATTGAAAGATGTGCCTTAAAGTTTTTTTCAAACTTACTTTTGTTCTCCATCCATACATGGTGTTTGGTGTTGTTCCTAATTATATAGCAAAATGTTAAATTGTTTTAGTTTAAGCCCATTATTGACCTGGGCAATTACTGTACTCTATTACATCGACATTCAGTTTAATATTTTGCATATCAAAAGTAATAAAACTGAATGAATATGTGTTTTAGGTTAAGTGCCACTCTCTGTAGAGAAATGTCTAACTGTCCATGTTTGCAATACTGTAGTTCATAGTGAATATTTTTCAGTATTTGCATCATTATTGGTAATGCTTGCAGTATATCGATGTAGATTGCTCCGGCAAGAACAGTTGTTTCAACTATCTACATAATATTCAAGTATTTACATTTT